AGGTTGTGTCATCTGCATATTGCAGGTTGTTAAATTAAGTGTTCCTCCAATCCTGATTGGTATAATATAGTGATAGTATATGTTACAAACAAAAACTTTCTTTGAAAAGCCCTTACATGGGTATTAGGGATCATGATAGCCTCCTTATTCCACAGAACGTTTGGGCTGACTCATGAAAATACGTACAGTATAAATGCATATACTAAGTAGTTGGGTCAAAGGGAAATTATTGGAAAAATATAGAACTGGGCTAATGAGTAGCACCTAAACTCTACTACATCTTCCTAAACATTGGAGAGGAAGATGTGCTGTGCATGTGCAGTTGGAGCCAGATGGGACAGAATTGAAATGGTTTCCCTCAGTTGGTGTCAGAGTAAGAAGTAGAAGAGATTGCATTGATTTGCCGTTGATTGATCTAAACACTGGGTCTGGTAGAGCTATTGATGTGTCCTTGTGTCTGTCCTGTTTACAGGTCTGCGGGAGACACTGGGCAATGAACCTGAGACTCCAGCCCAGACTGGTCTGAAGCTGTGTGCAAAAGCAGAGGGAGTCCTAGAAAAACATGGCCATGGCCCCAGGCCCTTCCCTGGCTCAGGTGTACACCAGCCCCGTGGCAGTGGCCGTGTGGGAATGGCAGGACGAGCTGGGTACTTGGCACCCCTACAGTGCCACTGTCTGTAGCTACATTGAGCAGCAGTTTGTCCAGCAGAAGGGCCAGCGCTTCGGGCTGGGGAGCTTGGCCCACAGCATCCCCTTAGGCCAGGCTGACCCCTCTCTGGCCCCTTACATCATCGACCTCCCCAGCTGGACCCAGTTTCGCCAAGACACTGGTAAGACCCTTTCTTTAGTATATATCTGAGTGTCTGCTTTGGGTGGGGCGCTCTGCTAGGTGTTGAGGGTACAGGGTTCAAGAAGTAAATCACAGCTTTGTCCCAGTCCTGAAACACACAGCGTTGGGAGGCGGGTACTGTGGATGCTACCACACAGTGTAGGGTGTACCTCTTAGTAGTAGCGGGTGCTGTAGGAGCATGCTGAGGAAGCCACCCCAGCCCCTGCCCTCTTGTCTCCCATTTTGCTGGCCTCATACACAAGAACTTGAGGGTCTGGTGGCTGGACAGTCTGTCGTGGAGGCGGTGCTCCGCAGTAGTCATGAGGGCCTGATGATGAATTCAGGCTCCACTGCTCAGTAGCTGTGTGACTTAGGCAGAGGACTTTACTTCTCTGTGCAGTCATGTTTGCTTTTGCTTTTGTTTTTTTTAATCCATAATGTGTTTTGATGAGTATTACTGAGAATGGGGCCGCCGATTTCCTCCCAAAGCTGTGCTGTGTCCTGCTAATCCAGTGGTGTTTTTCCTCTGGGGGCGATTTTACATCCCTACTCCCCACCAGGGGACATTTGGCAATGTTTGGAGCCTTTTTTATTGTCATGACTTGGTGGGAGGGGTGCTATTGGCATCTAGTGGGTAGTGGCCAGGAATGCTGCTAAACATCCTACAATACGCAGGACAGCTCCTCACAACAAAGAATGATCTGGCCCAAAATGTCAATAGTTCCAAGGTTGAGAAACCTGCTTTATTCCCCGTCAGCAGCATCCTAGAGTCTCTAAAAACTACGGCTCCTAATCAGTCGATGCAGATAAAAGTCCTTGCCTTCATAGTGTTGGTTGCCAACCTGGAAGGCCAGCAGATACAGAATACGTAAATTGTGCACTGTGTTGGGTAACAATAGGTGCTAAAGGAGGAAAATGCAGTCGAGTGAGGGAGGTGGGTATAAAGTGTTGGGATAGGTTGAGTGGCTGGGGCACTGAGAAGGGACTGAAGACAGGCCTAAAGGAGGGCAGGCAGGGGCAGGTCCTGCAGAGCTTTTCAGTCCCGAGAAGCGACTTTTATTCTGAAAAGAGGAGCCATTGGCAGCTTTTGGGCAGAGGAGTGACCTAATCTGACTTGGGGTTTCAGAGTGTCCCTCTGGCTACTATGGATGAAAGGGCTGAAGTTGAGAGACCAAGCTAGAAGGTAATTGCAAAAATCCATCTTCGGGCAAGAGCTATTAGAAGCGTAGCTCAGATGGTTTTCTTTTTCATCTTTAGGTTTGCTTTATTAAGTCTATGATAAACCGACCGTAGGTGTTTCCCAACAGTTGTGACTTGAGAAGTCAAAGGGATGATATGAGTTACACAGAGTTTTAGAGACATAGGTAAAGTTTATGGCATAGTATGTGAAAATAGCAGGAAATGTTTTCAGTATGCTGGTTTTAACTACTTAAATATATATCCCTAGAAGACTAGATGGGAAGAAATATAATATAAACTGTGTGCTTTCTCCTGGTGGTTGGATGATGGGTGATTTAATTTTCCTTATACTTTTTTCAGTTTTTTAAAAATGAGGATATATAAGTTTCAGCATTAGATCTTTAAAAGCCTCATTGAATCTAAGCCATAGCTGTCCATTGACCTAAGCTTCCAACATACCCCTCTCCTGCCCAAGAGTGCTGATATCCCTGTGCCACTTGACTCCTTTGGGCCATGGTTCTTGACCTTTAGAGAGTGCTCTATCCATCACCCCAAAATTTGGAAAGAGTAATGCCAGCTATTGGATCAAGTAACAGCACAACAGTATATATGCAGTGATCAAAGTTGTTTATTTTGGTTATGCAAGAAAGAATGTTGAAATGCCCTTTGTTGGGGAACTGGCAGATTAATGGTTTACCTGCAACTTTCCTTTTAAACAGGCACTATGCGGGCTGTGCGGAGGCATTTGTTTCCCCAGCATTCAGCCGCAGGCCGAGGCATTGTCTGGGAGTGGCTGAGTGACGATGGCTCCTGGACAGCCTATGAAGCCAGCGTCTGTGACTATCTGGAGCAGCAGGTGGCCAGCGGCAACCAGCTTGTGGACTTGGGTCCCCTGGGGTACAACTACACTGTCAACTATGCCACCCACACGCAGACCAACAAGACTTCGAGCTTCTGCCGTAGCGTGCGGCGCCAAGCAGGGCCCCTGTACCCGGTGACCACCGTCATTGCTCCACTGGGCCACACAGGAGTCACCTGCTCTTGCCACCAGTGCCTCAGTGGCAGCGGAACTGGCCCCGTGTTAGGCCGCTACCGCCACTCCATGACCAACCTCCCCTCGTACCCTGTCCCTCAGACCCCCCACAGGACGACCATTGTCTTTGGGGCTCATCAGGCCTTTGCCCCGTACAACAAGCCCTCACTCTCTGGGGCTAGGTCTGCACCCAGGCTAAACACTACGAGCCCCTGGAGTGGGGCACCTCCCACTCTGGGGAACCAACCTGTCTACCGCTCCAGTCTCTCCCACCTGCAGCACCTGCCCCCAGGATCTTCCACTTCTAGTGGAGCCAGGTATCTTGTGCTATTGCTGGTCATTAGGTCCACAGCATGTGCCTTGTCAGCAGGCTTGTGTTTCTGCTTTTACTTGGCTGAGAAAATCCATCTGAATACCTGTGGACTTGGCTCCTGCTCCCTTTGCTCCCTCGGTTGTCCCTGTTAAGTAGTCTCATTTGCATGTGCCACGTGGGTGCTGATGTGCCACAGCTGTCCATGGTCTTGCATCGTACAGAGCCTGCCTACCCTCTGGTTACTCGAGTTCTGTTAGTTGACGCACTGGAGTTGAAATCAGTAATCCTTTCATTCACTTACGAGAATAGGGCTCTCTGTGTAAAGCCAAATTTAAACATCTTTCTTGTGGTGGTGTGCCACATAGCTGTGCTTGTGTAGTTGACACCATTTCAGCACTGTGCACTCATTAACTCCTCTTGTGTGCCAGGCACTATAGATGCAGAGCTGGAAGGTACAGTTCTTGCCCTTAAGCCCACGGCCTGGTACAAGGAGGGCTGCCATCCCAGTGTGTTGAGATGACCAAGTGTTGAGGTGGGGAAGGCATGGCAGCAGATAACAGACAGTCCAGCCCTGAGTGGCTCAGTGTTCGGGAGCTCTCTGAACTTGGAGAAAGATGATGAAATAACAGGCCCAGTCTAGACCAGGTGCATTTTTTTGGTTGTTGTAGTTTAAGTGAAAGTTTACATTTCAAGTGAGTCTTTTATACAAAAATTTATACATACATAGTTATGTGACCCTAATTTCTCTCCCCATACTGTGACAGCACACTCCTCCTTTCCACTCCTGATCTCCCGTGTCCATTCAACCAGCTCCTAATCCCCTCTGCCTTCTCATCTCACCTCCGGACAGAAGCTGCCCATTGAGTCTCATGTATCTACTTGAGCTAAGAAGCACAGTCTTCATGAGTATCATTGTATGTCCCACAGTCCAGTCCAATCTTTGTCTGAAGAGTTGGCCTCGGAAATTGTTTTAGTTCTGGGCTGATAGAGAATCTGGGGGCCATGCTTTCCAGGGTTCCTCCAGTCTCAGTCAGACCATTAAGTCTGGTCTTCTTACTAGAATTTGAGTTCTGCACCCCACCTTTCTCCTGCTCCATCAGGGACTCTCTGTTGTATTCCCTGTCAGGGCGTAGACCAGGTGCATTTGAAAGTGAGAAAACCCACTGGGTTTGGCCAATGGGTGGATGCTTCTAGGTTGGTCTGTGACTGGACCGGCTGAAGCTAGAGGCTTCGTTGTTAATCATTATTGGGAGTGTGGGCGTGGAGAACATTGTGATAATTCAAATGTTAGCATGGGGGCTGCTTTCTGAGAGAGTGACCCAGTGGGTAGTGGCTGATCGTGTGGGCCTTGGGCTGCTGTTTTCCCAGATAGGCAAACTTCGTGTTCATCTGGGCTGATGTTGGCCAGTCAGCATGTCACCTGACTCCATCCTTGCCCACTTTATCATGTTGAGGGCTCAAGCTGCACAAAGTGGCTGAGACCACTGTGGCAGCTTCTTGGGTCTCCAGTATTTTTGCAAGCTGGGTTTCAGAGAACCCTGCCAGTTTGTACAAGATATAGTGACAGGAGCTACCATTCGTTGAGAACACATTATGTGCACGCCCTGTTGAGCAGGCAGCATGAATGATTTCAACACTCCTCGTAACAGCCTTAAGGTAGATAGTATCTTCAACTTACAGATGAGCAATTGAAGCTCATGAGGTTGGCAGCTCAGCTAGCAAGTGCTGGAACTGGATCTAAAACCCAGGTCCCAAGAGTGGACTCTATGGCACACATGGGGAGTTCTTGAAGCTCTTCTAAAGGTAGAGGGATTAGGAAGGCTGAAGGTATCTTGAGGGATGCGTGAGAAGTCCTATAGACCCAGAGGAGAGTAAGGAGCTTGGATGGGTCAAGATTTTCCTGGGAAGCTTTTCCTGCGAGTTGGGCTTATGGATCTGAGATCTTTCTGGAATTGTGAGTACAGGGAGATTTCATTTGGGCCTTGCCTGTGAACTTCCATGTAAGCATAAGCAAGCAGGGCTCTGTGGTATCCCAGCCACACCCTAGGCTCAGTGAGGTTCTCCCTGCACCTCTTACCCTCAATATGTGGGTCAGTCTCTTTTAGAGAAAAGTGTGATAGAGCTGTCAGTCCAGCTGGGGCTTCTTAGGTTCTTAGAAATGACTGAGGCAAATTTCTAAATAGTTCTAGAGAGTTCTAGACCCTGGGATTGATTGAGCCAGATGACTTAGTGGGCTTTATTTCTTTCTCTTGGTAAGGGGCTCTCTGATTGGTTTCCTATGAACACATCCCCAGTTCTATTTTTCTCTGGGGTCTCCCCTCTCCCAGCCTGAGGGCCAGCAGAGACTGCTGATGTGACCCTCCTGGTGCAGGTCAGGCAAGTTCCAGGAAGGAGGGTGATTAGGCCAGACTGTCTTACCTTCACCTTCTGTGCTGGGACATTCGTGTTGCAGCTTGCCCAGCATTGTAAGCCAGGAGGGAACCAGGCCAGCAGGCTCAGTTAGTTGAAACTGCCTCAAAGGGCATGCCTCCTGGGGTAGGTGTACATCTTTATTTCCTCTGGCTCTTCAGAGCTGGGAGGGGTATATAATTCACTTGCACAGGCCTATCCATGGTTTGAAAAATGGGTTACCCACACCTAATTTATAGCGTGGGCCTCCTCAGTTAACCCTTCTCTGATGGGTGTTGTAGAGGCAGAATGGGCCTGCTGAGGATTGAAGAAACTTGGCAACCTGTTCTCCCTAAGGGCTACGGTAAAGTTCTCAACTCCAGGTGAATGTCATCAGGATGAGGTGAAAGTTAACCATGTATATGGTGGCTGGGCAGGGTGGGCAGGTCTAAAGACAGCTGTGGCTGGGGAATCTTGTCCTTACTGGTAGCTATTGGAAATGCCATTTTTGCTGGTGAAATTTGTGGAACCTATGTGGTTTTAAATCACCTCTTGCTCAATCTGGGTAATACACTGGCTGATAGATTTCCTTGTGCCCCCTGGGAGGTACGTCACGGGTGACTGAGCTGCTGGGTTTGAGTAAATTTCCTGGTATCTGAAGTTTATCCCTTTAAGCACTAAAACTTGTGTTTAATCATGTTGGATGGAAAACTTCCCAGAATGTGTCATGCACGTTCTTGCCTTCTTTAATAGAGGGTGTGACTTCTTGTTTAGTATTTTGATGACTTGGGCAGTAATTATGACCAGCAGTCACACACAGCTCAGTGATGTGGTTAAGCCTATGGGTGCTTTGCCCCTGCATTAAATGGCCTTAGAAGATGGCTCTCCTGGTTTGCTTTCATCTGCTGCTGTTCTTCCTGCTTCTGATAGCTCCGCACACCCTGCTGCTGTTGGCCAGCCTATTTTGGCTGCTGGCAGTCTTGTGTGAGTAGAGTCCTGGGTTGCAGGCGGGGCCTTGCTCCTGACTCACTGTAGACCCTTGGGTCAGCTCTGTTCTCTTTCCATGTTTCATTTTTCCCCTTTTAAGATTAGGGAGTTGGACTGGTCAGTTTCTGAAGTTTCCTTTTGCTCTAATATTGCTATGGTTTTCAGGATTTATGAGGGCCCTGCAGGAAGGCGCCTGGTGGCCCTGAGAGCTTTGCTTTAGCTCCCTCTGTTCCTTTGGGTCCTGGACAACAATGGACATTTGTGTTGGGCTTCAGATTGAGCCTCACAGCCACCCTGGGAGCCTTTTGGTATTATCCTCACCTTATAGCTGAAGAAACTGAAGCTCAAAAAGAGGACTCAATACGCCCAGGCCCCACAGCTTTAAGTGGAAGCTGGCACCAGGAGCTGGGTCCCCAGACTCCACATCTTGTGCTCATTGTCCTGCATCATGTGGTCAGAAATTCCTATGTTGGTGCTGGCTTACCGGCCAGAATTGAAGATCTTGGGGAGCTAGAGAGACACTTTGGTTTCCTTACTCTCCAGCTTCCTAGTGTTGCTCCTTACTTTAAAAAAAAAAAAAAAAAAAAACCAAACCCATCACTGTCAAGTTGACTCCAACTCATAGCGACCCTATAGGACAGAGTAGAACTGCCCCATAGGGTCTCTAAGGAGTGGCTGGTGGATTCGAACTGCCAACCTTTTGGTTAGTAGCCAAGCTCTTAACCACTGTGCCCCCAGGGCTCTGTCCCTTGTTTGGGACTGTAAAGTTAGAAGGCTAGAAGTCCTCATTTCTCATGTTAGACCTCCATTTGGAAACTCCTTGAGATGGTCCCAGAGAGGAAAGCCAGGTGGAGCTGTTAGGTAGGCCCAGGAACAATAACAACAACACAGACAAACCTGGTATGTGGAGTTGATCCTGACTCATGGTGACCATAGGGTTTTCAGATGGTCCGTAGAGTTTTCAATGGCTGATTTTTCCCAACAGTAGATTGCCAAGGCCTTTCTTCTGCGGTGCCTCTGGGTGGACTCAAATCTCCAACCTCTGGCTTAGTAGCTGATCACTTAACTGTTTGTGCCACCCAGGGACTCCAGACCCAGGAACAAGGGAAGGTTTTATTTTGTTTTGTTTTCTTGTTGTTTGCGAAGAGGGAGGGTTCCTGAGGCCGTGATTAGAGAGAAGAATTCCCAGAGAAGGGCACTTAATGGGGCAAATGATGCCCCACATTGGGGAACATTCTGTCATCAGTCTGAGCCCTTTGAGGATGGAGGGGGTGAAGGTCAGGGTCAGGGACCTCTGAGGTTCCATCCAGCTCTGAGAGTCCCCATCTTGAAACTACTGGATCCTTTTGACTGTTCAGTTCCTGCTGCTCAGAGCAGGAAGATTTATGGGAGAGGAACTAGGATAAGCAGTATGGGGAAGTGGCACAATTCTGAGGAGCTTACACAGAACTTAGTCATAGTTCCTGGTCTCTGGTTTCAGGGTGAGATATCCGTTGGAAGCTTCACTGAATGTCTGCTATCTGCTTGAGTTCTTGGTGGTGGAGTTAGGCCATTCCTCTAAAATACGCACTTCTTCCTGGTAGAGGAAGACCCTACTTCCTGATTTTTTTTGTGGAGTGAGGCAGTCAGGGACCCATCCCTGTGGGAAACAGTGCCTAGCCCACTAACTTTGTGGGGTTGTAGAGCCGAGCTTAGATTTTTTGGCTTCCAGTTGCAAGAGCGTCCTAGGACTCACGCTTAGTGCTCCCTGTAGAGTTGGTTTCGGAGACCTGAGCTGGAGAGGAATGGGGACTGGGCCCAGAGAGAGGAGGTGAAGGATGCTGGGAGGCTGTGTCTCTTCAAATTCCTTCACTTATAGGACCTGAGAGTTGCAAAGGTCATCAGAGATTAACCACCTTCCTTTAAAAAAAAAACAGAGATGGAGAAATGGGCTCAGGAAGGGAGAAACTTGCCTGAAGTTAAACAGAGTTTTTAGAGGAACCAAGACCTTAGCCCAGACATTCCCCCTCCCTCCCACTGCATTATCAGTGTACTCTAGATCCAGTTCCAGCATTCTTTCTGGGCTGGGAGTAGATGAGGAGGCCAGAAGCTGCTATTTGAGTAGCACGGCCACTCAGGTTATCCTGTTTGGGGAGAACAGTTAAGGAATTGAAACAAAACAATCTCATTTTGTTGCTCAGACAGGTATTGGAGCTCCTGCTCTGCTCCAGATTCTGTGCTAGACTCTGGCAGCTTCAGCCCCAGCTGGGTATGAGGTTTCCTGGTTTGGATCAGAACCACCCAGCTCCTTGGAAATCTCCACCAGCGGGATCGGTGACCTGTGGCTGGCAGCAGGGAAGGATCTGGGGAAACTTCCAGGAGCCATTTGCTGTAACCAGGCAGTGACTGGTTTGCTGACAGCTCTAAGGGGTAGCCCAGCAGCCTGGAGCCAGCTGTCATTTCTGGAGCACCTTCTCTGTCCCTGGCTCTGGGCTGGGCCCTGGGAAGAAAGGTGAACATGCCTAGGCCCCGTCCTTGGGGAGCTCCAGTGCAGGAGCTATGTGAAAGAGTTCGATAATCCGTATTACATCATGTCTGATATGGGCAGGGTTGGATGGGAGGGCCCAGGACTGGAAGAGGGAGGAGTTGGCAGAGGTCTTGGGCATCTACACCAACTGTTCTCCAATGCAGGGCTCCCTCTTAAACCATAATGGCATGGATTTGTTATCGTTTTTAAAAATATGATGACTTAGAATCAAACGAGAGTCTTGAAAGTAGACAGGGCAGCCCTACGAGCTTTACCGCAGGGATAGGAAAGAACACTGCTGTGGGTGGGACTCTCATCTTTTTACAGAGTTTCAAGAATAAAGCTGTCCAAAAATGTCTTCCTGAGCAATTCAAAGTCTCTGAAGACAACCCTAAAAGAAGAGCTCAAAATGTTTTGAGCTTGCTAGTATCATCAAAATGAGGGCTTTAATAACAAAAAATTAAGACCAGTTGCTGTTGAGTTGATTGAGACTCATGGCAACCCCATTAAAAAACAAAACCAAACCTTTTTTTTTGGTTACTTTTTTTTTTTAATTGATGTAATTAAATGAAGCTTACATTTCAAGTTAGTTTTCCATACAGAATTTTTTTTTTTTTAAACATACATTGTTATGAGACCCCAACCACTCACCCCATTCTGCGACAGCACACTCCTCCCCTCCGCCCTGATTCCCCACGAACATTCAACCAGCTCCTAACTCTCTCTGCCTTCCCCTCTAACCTCTGGACAGAAGCCCCCCCTTTGGTCGCTTATATCTACTTGTCTAAGAGGCACATTCTTCGCAAGTATCACTTTATGTCCCACAGTCCAGTCCAATCCCAGTCTGAAGAGTTGGCCTCGGAAATTGTTTTAGTTCTGGGGTGATGGAGAGACCAGGGGCCGTGCTTTCCGGGGCGCCTCCAGTCTTAGACCATTAAGTCTGGTCTTCTTACTAGTATTTGAGTTCTGCATCCTGTCGTTCTACTGCTCCATCAGGTACCTTCTGTTGTGTTCCCTGTCAGGATGTTCATTGGTGGTAGCTGGGCACCATCTAGTTCTTCTGGTCTCAGGCTGATGAAGTCTCTGGTTTATGTGGCCCATTCTGACTCTTGGGCCAGTACTTTCCTTGTGTCTTTGGTGTTCTTGTTCTTCGTTCTCCTTTACTCCAAGTGGTTGGGACCAATTGATGCATCTTAGATGGCCGCTCGCAAGCTTTTAAGACCCCGAGACGCCACTCACCAAAGTAAGATGCAGAACATTTTCTTAATAAGGTAAAACAAAACCTTTATTTTGAAATAATTTTAGACTTAAAGAAAGGTTAAACAAAAATAATACAGAGTTTCTGTATACCCCTCACCCAGCTTCTAATGTTACCATCTTTCATAACCACAGGTACTAAATCACTGGAGTCAGAAAGTTGCATTGGTTCAACACTGTTAACTAAACCAGAGACCTTTTTTTTTTTTTTTACCTTCACCAGTTTTTCCAGTAATCTTTTTCTGTCCCAGGATCCTGTTTAGGATCTTATCTAGCATCTCATGTTGCATCCAGTTTCATGTCTCCTTAGTCCTTCAGTCTGTGACAGTTCATCAGTCTTTCTTCATTTTTCATAATCTTGACACTTTTGAAAACTTACTTCGCCATGTGTCTCTGTGTGAGCTTGTCTGATGTTTTCTCATGATTGGACTGAGGTTATGCATTTTTGACAGGAATACCACAAAAATCATGTTGTGTCCTTCTCAGTGCATCCTATCATGGGGTTCGTGATGTTGATTTGTCATATTGGTGTTGATCTTGATCACTTGTTAAAGTGATTTCTGCTGGATTTCTCCATTGTAAAGTTAACTATTGGGAGTCCTTGAGTTGTGTAAACAGTTAACGAGCTCAGCTGCTAACCAGTTCATCCAGAGGCACCTTGGAAGAAAGGCCTGGTGATATACTTCCGAAAACTCAGCCATTGAAAACTATGGAGCACAGTTCTACTCTGACACACATGGGGTCGCCATGAGTCTGAACTGACTCGACAGCAACTGGGTTTAATTTTTTTAAGGTGCTATTAAAGCCCTCATTTCGATGAAGCTAGCAAGCTCAAACCATTTTGAGCTCTTTTTTTAGGATTGTCTTCAGAGACTCTTTGAACTGCTCAGGAAAACATTTTTATTCTTGAAATTCTGTAAAAAGATGGGATTCCCACCCGCAGCAGTGTTCTTTCCTATCCCTGTGGTAAAACTAGTAGGGCTGCCCTGTCTCCTTGCCTGCTGTTCCTTTCCCCCTCCCTAAAGCCCGGCTTCCAGTTTTACTTAGCCACACTTAAGAAGCCTCAACCTTGACTTTAGCCTAGTATGTGATGCTCTGTCAAGTATCACGTGGGTGTCTTCCTTGTAAATGATAACAGCTGTGGGCTTCATTTCTTAAGTGCTCAGATTCTCTGGGTTAGTTTGTGTCTGAGAGTGGTAAAATGTGGATTTCTTTGTTCCTCATTCCACATACCCTTCACTCCTCATTCACAAAGTGGCAGCCATGAAAGTAAAACCTTGAAGGAGCCTGGGCAGCACCAGTTAATTCATAACCAGTCAATTCTTGTTTTTGCTAAGTCAGGTCCACATGTTAAGCTTTGTTCTCTTTTCCTCCAGTGCCACCCTTCCCAGCGGTCCCGCCAGCAGCCCTGGGAGCGTCCCCGCCAGTGTGCCTGTGCACGTCCCCGCCAGTGTGCCTGTGCAGATGCCAAAGCCCAGCAGGGTCCAGCAGGCCCTTGCAGGTAGGTTCCCCACTCTCAGGTTTAGGAACAAACTGCCCAGCAGGACTTGGTTTGGGACAGGGGAGAGTGTATGTGGGGTGAGGGGCAGAGGAAGAAATGGTGGGGTGGGGGCTTTGTTACCCTCAGTTCCCATGGAAACCTGAAGACTCCTTGGGGAGTAAGGCCTCTTTCTCGTGATGGTGCAGCCCCAGTGAGTGGGCTGGGCACCCCCTGCATGGGCTCTCTGTGGCCAGGTTCTATGGCGGTCGGTGCCTGGGTGTGGATCTTTCTCTACCTTTTTAATTTTTTTGTCACACTGAGTTATTGTTAAAGAGTCACTTTTCTGTCCTGAAATGCTTTAGGCATTTACTTAAAGGGGCCCTCTGGGGAATTCATAGAATCGTAGTGGCTGTGGTTACATCTTGAATAAGTTCCTTTTGTGTCCAGTTAGATCTTTTGTTAACCATACATCTTGGAACTATTTTTAAAATTCCCTTGACAGACATGAGGGAGCCACTGAAAGTTTTTTTTTGTAACTAATGGGAAATTTAAAAATTAATGCAAAGGAAGACAGAATAGTATAGTGAACCTCCATCATTTAAAGGTTGTAAAGGGACTAAGAAAATCAGAGTTTGTGTTAGGGAGTCACTGTAGTGACATAGGATAGATTAGAGGGGACAAGACTGGAGGCAGTGTCATGGATTGAATTGTGTCCCCCGAAAATATCTGTCAACTTGGCTAGATCATGATTCCCAGTACTGTATGATTGTCTACCATTTTGTCATTTGATGTGATTTCCCTGTGTGTTGTAAATCCTATTACTATGATGTTAATGAGATGGATTAGGGGCAGTTATATTGATGAGATCTACAAGATTAGATAGCTTCTTAAGCCAATCTCTTTTGAGATATAAAAGAGAGAAGTGAGCAGAGAGACATGGGGACCTCATACCACCAAGAAAGCAGCTCTGGGAGCAGAGCATGTCCTTTTGACCCTGAGTTCTTGCACAGAGAAGCTCCTAGACCAGGGAAAGATTGATGACTAGGACCCTCCTTCAGAGCCAAGAAAGAGAGAAAGCCTTCCCCTGGAGCTGATGCCCTGAATCTGGACTTGTAGCCTCCTAGTCTGTGAGAGAATAAACTTCTGTTTGTTGAAGCCATCCCATTGTGGTATTTCTGTTACAGCAGCACTAGATGACTAAGACAGGCAGGGAGGCCAGTGTGGAGCCAGTGAAGGCCTGCACTAGGGCAGTGGGTGGGGGTGGGGGTTAGGTAAAAAATTCAGAGGTAAGATCCTTTTGACTTGGTGATTTGGATTAGTTGTGAGAGAGGAGGAGGAATAGGATGAGGACTGCTGGTATATACAGCTGTGACTGGCAATGCCATAGTAATGATGACAGTGAGGAAGGACTAGGGACTTTGCACGTATATTAATTTATTTCATCCTTATAACAATTTTGTGAGTAGGTGCCATTACTTCCCTTTTACATTTGAGGAAACTGAGGGCTCATGAATTTAAATAACTTACCCGAGGCCAGGTAACTAGCACTTGGCAGAGCTGGGGTTCTACTGCCGGCAGTCTGGCCCGAGTCTGGGCTCTTCCCCATGAGACTCTGCTGCTTCTCCAACGCTGTGACAGGAGCACTGGAAGGGAAGGTGATGAGTGCGGTTGTAGACGGTGGAGCTGCAGGTGGTGCTGTCCAGGAGGCAGTGGAGTTTAGATGTGGTGCTCAGAAGAGTGGGCTGGCCTTTGCCGGTGGAGAATGATGAACACCAGGGAGTGTGTGAGTTCCCCATGGAGACTGTAGGTAGGGAAGGGACCACGGGTGAAGCTCTGTCCAACAGCACAACTAAGGAGGTGGCCAAAGAAGAGGTGCCCATGGAGGAAACAGAAGAGTCACAGAGATGGTAAAGACTGGGGAGAGCAGGGCTGGACAAGCCACAGGGGAGACAGTGCCCAGCAGGCCCTCTTCAACCTGCTCCAGCTGCTGACCCATTAACCTCTGCTGGGGCAGAGAGAAGAGAGTGAGCAAAAATGTGACTAGAAAGTTGCTGCCCAGTTTAGGTCTTCTCGTGGTGTCAGATGTTGTAGGGGAATTGGGCAATACCGAGCGTGTATGTGTTGTTTTTGGTGGTGGTGGAGGGAGTTGGGACCAAGGTTGTCAGTAACAGGCTTGGCCCCCATATTTGTATCTGGGCTCTGAAAGAGGCAGAGGAGAACACTGTCTTCCAGGACCTCTGCCTGGCTGTACTGAGCCTTTGTGGCTAGGCCTGATGTGTATAATCTCTAAGGCTTTACTACAGTTGTTAAATAACCTTTCTAAATGGCTCTCAGAAATGGTAGGATAAGCCCCACCCTATCTCACTACCTAGGAATATTGAGTAGCACTTACTTCCTTTTCTCTGCCTTTGTATTTATTATTTTAAATAATACTTTACTGTGTTTTTGGTGAAGATTTACATAGAAGTTTAAGTTCCCATTCAGCAGTTTCTACACAAGTTGTTCAGTGATGGTTACATTCTTCATAATGAGTGAATATTCTCATTTTTTTTCATTCTGGTTGTTCCATTTCCATTAACCTAGTTTCCCTGTCCCACCCCACCCCCCCTTACATTCTCATCTTTGTTTTAAAGACATTGTTGACCGTTTGGTCTCATATAGGTAAATTTTTAAAGGAGCACAGCACTTACGGGGAATATTCATTATTTTGTGAGCCAGTCTGTTATTTAGCTACAAGGTGACCTCAGTGGTTAGTTTTGGTTCAGGGTTTGAAGAGTATCTCAGAGCAGTAGTCTCCAGGAATCCTCCAGTCTCAACTAGTCGAGTAGGTCTGGTTTTTTTTTAGGAATTTGAGGTTCTATTGTACATTTTTCTCCCATTCTATCAGGGTTCATCTGTTGTGGCCCTGATTAAAACAGTCGATAGTGGTAGTCAGGCACCATCTAGTTCTTCTGGTCTCAAGGTAGATGAGGCCATGGTTCATGTACACTGTTAGTCCTGTAGACTAGTTTCTTCTTTGAGTCTTTGGTTTCCTTCTTTCTCTTTTGCTCCGGACAGTGGAGACTGATAGTTGTATCTTTGATGGCCACTTCCAAGCTTTTAAGACCCCAGATACTGCTTGCCAAATTAGAATGTAGAACATAACTTTATGAACTATATTATGCCAGTTGACTGAAATGTCCCATGAGACTATAGTCCTAATCCTTCAAACCCAGAAATCCGATCCCGCGAGGTATTTGGTTACGTCTAGCAACTATCTGTAACTGTGTCCCCTGTGTTCTTTATTATGTATATGAATATATGTGTGTACACATAGACGTCCATGGATATGCATACATCTATATATACACACACATGCGTATCTGTACACGTATATGCCTACGTACATACATACATTTATACCCATACATAATATTTTTTGGTTGTTTCAAAATTATATTTGCCATAGCAATTATCAACAGGTCCTTTTTTCTTGTGTACTTTTTAGTGACATCGTTTTATCTTCATCAGGCTGTGTATTTTCTCTGCTTTTAAGGTTGAAGACCCTTTTCAGGCTGGGTCCTCAGGTTGCACTTATGTCCCCTGTTGCCTTGGTTCTCAGAGTAATCCTGGAGATGGTCAGCTATTTTAACATCCACCTTACTGATAGAGGGGAACAGACCTCAAAAGTTCAGGAACTTGGTCTCCAGCTAGGAAATGGTAAAGCCAAGACAGGAGCATGTCGCAGATTGCTGCCTCCCCTATACCCAAGGCTCTGTGGTTTGTACCTATTGATGGGCCCTTGTCTAGGGCACCAGGGAATGAGAGGATCACAGCACAGTCCCCAAGAAGCAAGGTCTGGAGACTGCCCTTTCTCATCCTCGGCAATGTTTATGGATTCAGGAAAATGCAGCAGCCACAGTGAGGTGAGCATTTGGGCATATGGTTTTGCAGGTAGATTTACAAACAGGTGGTCATTTTGCAGAAGAACTTGTGCAAAGTGCCCCTTTTTGAGATGGCTAGATGGGACAGGTGCTGTTGCAAAGCCCAGCCTTCTGTATATTACTGGGCCAGGGCAGATGCCCGCCCTGCCCCACCCCACCCACTCTGCCTGCCGTAGTGGAAGGAAGTAGTGTCAGCGCTTTGAACTGATGCTCAGGGACGATAAGCAACCTGCCCAAAACTGTTCTGCCAGTAAGTGGCAGCGCCAAGCTCTGAATCCAGTTGTTGAGGTCAGGGGAAGGAGGACAGTCTCAGACCCTAAACCCTGGCCCCCAGATGAAAGATTTACCCTTGGTGTTAGAAAGGTAGTGTTTGAAAATTGAGACGTGAGAATCTGACTGTGTATTGGGCTTTAGTCTCCAGGGGTTCTAACAGGTAAAGTGGGAATCCTGTCAGATGGTGTGGAAAAACTGTGGCTGTGCAAGGTATTGAGGTTATTTGGGGAGTGTTAGGCGTTTCGGGTGCTATTCCTGAGACCTTGCAGCTGAGGAAGATGTGCTGGCTCAAGCTTGGTGCACCTCTCCTCCACCCTGCACACTGATGCTTTGGTGAAGTGTTGGATGTAGGAAATTTTCAAAAGATGGTAGACCCACAGAGTAGGCTGCTCTCTCATCCGGCTTCCAACTTGACACATTTTTGCCCTGCAGACCTGTGATTTGGATTCAGGGTCTAGCATTGAAAAGGGCCAGAGTGCTGTTCAGCCTGGCCCCTTGGGCAGATGATGGTGGCCTCAGGATGGAGGGACACCCAGTGGTGGTCAAGGATGTATTTATTTGTTCCTTAGCCCACATACAATGTGTGCCTCCTGTGGCTCAGGTACCACCCTGGGTGCCGGAGATGCAGCTGTGAACAAAATCCTGGCCTTTGTGGAGCTAGTGGTGGAGAAAGACAGCCAACCAACCAGATATATGAGTAGTTCCAGGTGGTGAGACGTGTTAGAAGAAGAGTAAAGAAGAATAAAGGAGATAAAGAGTTGGAGGGTATACAGGGTGTCTCTCTGACTCTGCCTTTCTGGAGGCCAGCTCTAATTCTAACTCTAAATAGCCTCTCTGACACCAACCGCAAATGCAGCATTTCTTTGTCTGACCCTAACCACCTGGAGCTAGGTCTGATCTCACGAGTTAAAGGACACAGTCCACCAGGCTACCATGTCTGCCTGAGACTTCAGATGCCAGCCACAAGCTTGGAGATCTCCAGGTCCCCCTCACTGCTGAGCTGCTGGCTACAAATCGAGTTTTTTTCCCACTACCCCCTCAGGTCCCCACGACACCCTCATTCGGACATGCTGACTACATATTTGCTGGCTACACCCTTGGGTTACCAGCCATAAGTTCAGAGGTTCCCAGCTCCCCTCACTTCTGACCTACTGGTTCCCACTACTCCCTCGGATTTGATACTTCACTAGAATGACTCATAGAACTCAGGAAAGCACTGTACTTATGATTATAGTTTTATTATAGCAAAAAGGGTACAAATGAAGAGACCCATGGAGCAGGGTCTGAGAGAGTCCCCATTGTGGAGCTTCCACGTCCCAAAAAGGGACGTGTTACTCTCCTAAGCACTGATATCTTTCACCAACCAGGGAGCTCACCAAGTTTCTGTGTTGAGTTTTTGTTGGGTCTTCATTTACGTAGGCACGATTGATTGAATCATTGCCCATGATTGAACTCAACCTTCTAGCCCTGATTCGAGAGTCACTTCATTAACAACCTGGTAGGTAGGTGTGGTGTGGAGCCCCTCCACAAATAACAAAGACCCCAAACCAAAAGACCGGTTGCCATGGAGTTGATTCCTACTCACAGTGACCCCATAGGACAGAGTAGAACTGCCCCATGGAGTTTCCAAGGATGTAAATCTTGACAGAAGCAGACTGCCACATCTTTCTGCCATGGAGCAGCTGGTGGGTGCGAACTGCTGACCTTTCGGTTAGCAGCTGAGTGCTTAACCACTGTGCCACCAGGGCTCCTTACAAAGACTCCAGTCACAGGAAATTCCAAGTGTCTAGAGATTACCTCAGGAGCCTGGTGGTGCAGTGATTAAGCACTCGACTGCTAACTGAAAGGTTGACGGTTTGAACCCACCAGCCACTCCATGGGAGAAAGATATGGCAGTCTGCTTCTGTAAAGATTTACAACTCCATGGGGCAGTTCTGCTGTGTTGTATAGAGTTGCTGTGAGTTGGAATCCACTCAGTGGCAATGAGTTTGGTTTTGGTTTGGTTGGAGATTACTTTCCAGGAACCAGGGACAAAGACCAAATTCCTTGAGTACATCTTACCACTTTGGGTAGGTGGCCTGGGAAGGTGATACTTGAGGGGAGGGTCTGAATGAAGTGAGGATGCTGATAGGTATTGGGGAAAGCAATCCAGCTAGAGGATACAAAGGCCCACGGCTCTCTTAAGGAAAACCATGCCTGCTCCCATTCTCCCCCACCTCTCTGCCACTTGTGCCTGCTTGGCATTCTGTTCACCTAACATCCAGTTCCTGAGAGAACCGTATTTGTGCTCAGGAACAGCCTTGTGGTGGTGGTGGTGTTGCATTAACTAAGCGGGAGCACAGCCAGAGCGCAGGTCAGCACAGAGCCTGGCCTGAACCTCGGTTGTCTGATGCCTACTTTGTCTCCTGCTGAGTGGCCACCACCGTTGGTTGGGCACACACCTGCCTGGTCTCAGCTGTGCTACCCAGGCTGTTGACTGGCCTCTGCTTCTTTCCCTGAGCTGGGGCATTTGTCAGGTTGGGAGTATTTGTTCGTCCTGTGGAGGCCACATGGCCGGTCCTGGTGAATCCCACAGTCCCCTCACTCCTATGTGTCACCTGGTGGGGGCAGCACTGCCTGCCCTGGCCTTTTCATGAGGCAGAGGGTAGAGGGGGAAACGGGGCTATGTGGGATTGCCACTTCCTGCCCAGGCCCCATCCTGCGCCCAGGCCCTGACCAGTTTCTGAGGATTCAGAAAGCTACCCTCAGGGAGGCCCCTAAGGAAAAGCACTGAGCTTCTTTGTGGGCCCCTATGGCTTTTCACCGTACTGTCTCCCTGGACTCTGGGTTTGTTGATGTCACGTGCTGAATGACTCCTTTTAATGTTTCTCCCCCTCTCTGCATGTCTGATCTTGCACCCCGTGTAGGCATGACGAGTATTCTGATGTCAGCCATTGGACTCCCTGTGTGTCTTAGCCGTGCACCTCAGCCCGCCAGCCCTCCCGCCTCCTGTCTGGCCTCTAAAAGTCACAGCTCAGTTAAGAGATTGAGGAAAATGTCCATGAAAGGTAGTTCCTGTTCACAAATGCTCTCTGGCCTTTGCTAAGCCTCCCCCGAGTCTTGCTGCCTCTGACTCTCTCGCATCGGTTGTTCTTCCTTTAGCTCCACGGCCCTTTTCTCTTTCCTTGGCCCCTTGGGGTGATGCGCTTCTTGGCCCCATCTTCCTGCCTTCTGCTGCAGGGGTGGCCCCTGGGGAATCTCTGTTTTCCACTTAAGACCCAGAGTTCGGGTCTTCTCTTCTTGGCACAATTCAAATGAGGGGCTTGTTCTCAAGGACCCTGTGACTTTGTAGACACAAAGGTGTGGGGCAAGGCCTTGCACTGGCCACCAGCTTAGGATGGGGGACGACTCTGTCCGCTTCCACTGGGGCTAGTGTGTGTCTCAGAAAAGACACCAGGCAGAATCTAGTCCTGCTGTCCTAGCCCCCAGCCCCATCTGATCCCCTCCGTGGGGCTACTTCAGAGGGGCTTCCTGATGACCACTGCCCTGCCTCCCGCTCGACAGGAGGGAGGGATTTCAGGACCATGGAAGGTGTTGCTGAGTGCCAACAAGAGTTGTGTGGGTAGGAAGTTAGAATCTCTCTAAAGCTGACTGTGGCTTAGCCTCCATCATTTGGCCATAGACTTGCAGATGCTAAAAGCCAAAGTGACCTTTGAGAGGGTGTGGCATTGTGGAAGGAGCAGGACTTCAGGTGTGCCAGTCCTGGGTCTCAGTCTTGGCTGCATCACATACTTTGTGATCTTCTGCATTTTTCTCCGTTTATAAGCTGGGTGCCACCTGCTTAGCAGATTGGTTGTGTAAGGAATAGGATATATGCACCTGAAATATCTGGTGTGCAGTAATGGTGGCACCTCACATCGTGTGCATCATCTGCTCTGATATCCACCCCCACCCCACGGGAGAAGAGGGAGGCCCAGGGAGGGGCAGGGTTTTACTTACCCAGCAATCGGGGTGGAACTTGACGATCTACACCCCAGTCCAGGGCTCTGCACACTCCTTTCTTACCCTACCTCGGAGGTAGAGATGGGACCTGTGGGCAGGGCAGGCAGGCAGCTTCCTACAGCACTCAGGTTTTTGCCCAGGAAGAACACAGGCCAGCTGTCCCTTTAATGGAGTGGATGATCACTTGGCTGGCCCCCTTTGAGAAATGTGGCTAGTGGAAAGCTACTTAGAGTGCTGAAAGTCTGCTGGGGCAAGGGGCAGGGGGATGAGATGCTGAGCTGGACCTCACCAGAGGTAGGCCAGGAGCTTATCTGGGCAGACGGGGTCTTGGGGTTCATCTGGACAGTGGCCTGTAGCCACCGGGCTTTTCTAAAATGCCCCTCCCCTCAATCGAAGCAGAGCGTCCCAGTTACCAGGATGGCCACCCTGTGCCAGTGGTCATTGTGTTTTGGCCTGGCTTTCTCAGCACGGTGACCAGAGTCAGGGTCCGGGGGTGGGGAGTGTGTGTGTGTGTGCGTGTGCGCGCGCGCGCGTGCGTGTGTGAGTGTGAGTGTGAGAGACATCTGTAGCTGCCTTTCAGATAGTAGCAACTAATCCCTTTACAACAATTGCAGCCTTGGTATAGGTGTTGCGTTTCCACTTTTTAGACAAGGAACTGACACTTAGAGGTGACAGAATTTGGTCACTTAGGAGAGCCAGAATTAAACCCCAGGTCCCCTGATTCCAGCTTCAACCCTCATTGCTGCACCAAGCCACCTCCCCTCATAACTGTCACCTGGAAGTGCAGCTGTTGCTCCCTCAGGCTTCTGAGTCTTTGCAGCCCCAGGCGATTGGCCATGAGCCTGTGTTCAACTGAAGCCCCTGTGGTCTTGAAGGCTGGGACGATCAGCTCCATGGTGATCTTGAGGTGGAATGAGGAGCTGCTGTTGGAGTCGCTTTCTCAGGCCTGTGCCAGGCTCCCTGGTCCCCTCCTGGGTTCCCACATAAGCTCTGCTGCGGTTCTCATGATTCTGCTGCTGCCCCTGCCGCCTTGACAACCCCCAGGCTGTGCTGATTTTGTCTCACTAATAGGGGTGGGGGGGTTCTGGAGTAGGACTTCCCCGCCCTCCCAGATTCATGCACATGCATGCACAGAGGGAGATGGGATACTCAAAGAGGAGTTGTGGGGAGGTCTGGGGACCCCAGCTACATGTGGGGCAGTCAGGATGCACTTCCTGCGGCATCTCGGCCGCTTCTCAGAATCCCTCAGCGTAGGAACCAAGTGGTTTAGGACTGAGATCCCATAGTCCATAGAGACAGGTGTGAGAGGAGGCTTTCAGGTGTATCTCATCCAGCCTGCCAGAATTTATTTTGCCCCATTTAAACCAAAAGTGAAGACAGGACTTAGTTCTGAGGGGCAGGTGCCTTGGCCTTCAGAATGAGTCTAGACTTTTTGTGTGGAATTCAAGACCATTCAAGAGCTGCCCCCACTGGACCTCTCTCCTTGCATTCCCAGCATCCTCTAGGTACTACCCCTGACCCTCAGCCACCGTGTCCAGGGGATGCGGGGGGCTGTTGGGGTGGTCAGCAAGCACATGGTGCTCACATACTGGCACCCAGTACATGTTTGACTCCTCAAACTAACTTCTCTGGCTGAGGTTTTCATACAAGAATAATGAAAGTTAAATAAATTATGCTGCCAGGACCTGCTCCCATTTGGTTTGTCTTAGCAGTTGTTTTTCATTCTTTCGGGCACATTCCAGAGAGCCTGGGCCTGGTGTCCTGACCGACTGGGCACAGGTGTGTGGCTGCAGAGCAGTTGTGGCTCCTGAGAGCTGGGATGGGGCTCTCAGCCTGCCCCTCATCTGCCCCCACCAGGGCTCTTGGGCAGGCCTGGGCCACAAAGGGTGGGCTGGCTGGGCAGAGCTCTGGAGCATTTGCACCTGGCGCAAAGCCTCTCTTCTCTTGCACGCTAGCTTTCCTTGTCTTTAACTCTCTAACGTTTTCTCCTGGCAGCTTGGACCTCTCCCCTGTCCTCCTTCCTCTCTGGCATCACCATCTCCAGCTTGTACTCCTGCGGACATCGCTTACCTTCTTCTCTCTCCTAGGAGGGACTCCAAAGCCAGAGCCAGAGCAGGTGATAAAAAACTATACCGAAGAGCTGAAACATCCCCCAGATGAGGTACGTGTCATGGAGGGAAAGAGGGCTAGCCTCACGGCAGCAGAATACACTAGCCTGTTCTCTGACTGAAGGCACTAACTACTCAAGGGCCCCCGGGGGCTGGAGGCTATGCACTGGCACTTTGTTTATTCTCGCAGCACCCCAAGAGGTAGACTTTACCAAGATGGGCGGCCATGGCTCCTGATAGCCGTATTCTAGCCTTAGCTTTGCCACTAGCAAGGTGTGGTCCTGAGCAGAGCACTTCCTCTTGGTGTGGGCCTCTGTGTAACCCCCTCCCTGTGCCATCCTAGGGACCGAGGGTCTGGAGACAAGGGATGGGAGAGTCTGCCCCACCCCCTGCAGGTGGACATTTCTGTACAAGCATGATGGGCATGTCCAGAGCACCAGTCCTACCCCGTCTATCTGTTCGGGAGAGCCGGTCAAGGTTCCTGTAATCAATAGTGCTTGCCAAACTCTGTTACAGTTTCAGTAGAACCCTAGTCTCTCTCTACTGAGCCCCATTTTGGGCTACAGCACCACTTGCCTCCAGTTGGAATGCAGAGTCCTAGAGAATTGGTAGGGGCATGGGTTCAAGGTCAGTCAGGCCAGCACAGAACCTAGGACTCTCTGTTGGCCTCTTTCTCCTGCAAGTCAAGTACATGAGAGAAGTTGAATCAGATTAGTAAAGGTTTGGACAGAGACCTAAAGCCTTCCTCAGACGTCCTGTCCCCTCACCAAGTTCTGTCTGTCCTTCTGCCCCACAGCTCTTGTCTGTCTCCGTCCTCTCCTGCCTTTCCTTCTGTGCTCATCAGGTACAGCTGGGCTGTTTTGCCTCCAGTCCCCTCAACACAGCCAACACAAGATATGGTCATGATACTTGTCCCTGCTTCAGACCCTCAGCAGGGCCCATGGCTTACAAGATAAAGCCCAACTCCTGAGCATGGCAGCCAGAAGAACCTTCCAGGATCTGGTTCTCTCCTACCTCTTGTCTCATTTCTTATGCCTCAGTCCCCCTGTACCCTTTAGGTGCCACCCCACCCCACTATTTTCTCTTCCATGCTTCTGAGCTTCCAGACGTTCTCTTCCCTCTGCCTGGAATGCCTGACCCCATGCTTGTCCACCTACAAGTTCCTTCTTCCCCTGTAAAAGGGCCTCTCCCTTGTGGAGCCTGCTGTCCTCTTTCCTGTTTGCCTGTTTCCACTATTGTTCCAGCCCTGGTTTTTTATCATACCTGCCACCAAGCTGTGTCATCTGTTGTCTTTTCTGTTCTGGTGAACCCTCTTGAGGGCACAGATCCTGGGGGACTCTTTTGTCTTGTCAGCCCCCAGAACCAACAGCTCTCTTTCACTGTAATTCTAGCATTTCAGCAGATGAAGGTCTTTTCCTATGTAACAGGCCGTTGGTAAGCATGCCCTGTGTGGTCTCTCTCTAGGACTGCATCATCTGTATGGAGAAACTGTCTCTGGTGTCTGGGTACAGCGATGTGACTGACAGCAAAACCATTGGGCCCATGGCTGTGGGCCGTCTCACCAAGTGCAGCCATGCCTTCCACCTGCTCTGCCTGCTGGCCATGTACTGCAATGGGAACAAGGTGCCCACACAGCCAGCCTGGGCGGGGGATGGGGAGCTGGGGAACCTGGCAGTAGCCCCTACCTTCAGGCATGGGCATCTCCCGGAGGGCACTGGGCATGCTCGGAGCCAGCCCTATGATGTCTGCACAGCGTTGCCCTGCAGGAGAGTGGGTGTCAGCCACCAGGAGGCTGTGGATGGGCAAGGGTGGGATCGCCCCTTTGGCAAAAAACAGTCATGGGCATAGAGCTAGCTTGGAAACCTTCCTCTAGGCCCAGCTGACTTTCCTCAGCCTGCCCCAGTCCTCAGGAACGGGGACCAACTGGGCTGGTTACTCCAGCCCTCTAGATTCCTGAACACTCTCAGCAGCAGAGCACCATCGTGGCCTCTGCCACCTGTTGATTACCTGCAACAAGTGCTTCCTATATACAGTCCCACATGATACAACTTCTCTCTGAAGCAGGCACTGGACTGATGAGGAAACAGTCTCTGAAAGGGAAAAGTGCCCAGGGTCATCCAGCTGGGAATGGGAGAGCCAGGCTACCAAGTACAGTGGACTCAGCCCTACGCTGTTTCACATGGAAAGAGTCCATTCAGGCCCTCAGTAGCTGGCGTCTGGCTGCTCTTCCTTTAGTGGAATTGAGCCGGAATGGACAGAGATTGGGGGGACGACGAGAACCAAGTCACACGGCAGCACTTCTGGCCAGGCACGGCCTGCTGCAGTGTCCCTGTGCTGTCCTGTACCAGCCAGGGTGCCTCATCAACAGGAGATCCACCACAGGATTTTCTGTTTGATTTTAAACTCATTAGACTGTGGAGGCATTTGCTTAAACCTAATTTTCCTACCTGATATCTCGCCCCTTTACTGAAAATTGCATAGTGAGTTTTTGGTGAAAAGTCCATCTTGACAGGCCAGCTGTGGGAAGTGGCATTTCTGTGAGGGGAGGCCTGCCAGGAACTTGCTGTGGGATTGTGGCTAACCCGCTTCTTTGTTGGCCTCATACCCCCAACGAGACTGTGACTGTCCAGTTCTCTCGGAGCCCAGCAGCTCAGTCTGTTGCCATCTGCCTTGTTTCAGGATGGAAGCTTACAGTGTCCTTCCTGCAAAACCATCTACGGAGAGAAAACTGGAACCCAGCCCCGGGGGAAGATGGAGGTGTTCACGTTCCAGGCATCCCTCCCTGGCCATGAAGATTGCGGGACAATACTCATAGTTTACAACATTCCTCATGGCATACAGGTAAGGGCAACCCCAGCACCAGAGGAGCCTCCTTGGGCCTCTCTGAAATCAGTCCCTCCCAGGCACTCCTCCTTCCATGCCCTCTCCCAGCAGTCTACCCCCTGGATGGCTTTGAGGAGCCCCATGTGCCCAGGCTCAGGCTCCCAGTTCTCCCTAAGCCTGGGCCAGGAGGTGATAGTACTTGGGATAGGGGCAAGCTCACAGGGGATGTGAAAGCAGAGATGGCACCAGTCTTTCCTGAGCCAAGGAAGGCTTCCTGGAGGAGGAGACATATTAGCTGGACTTGTATTGGGCAGAAGACCAAGCAGATAAGCAGTAAGAATGCTGCATGGATAACGGGGGAGTCCACGTGCATGGTGGGCATTGAGGGACCCTTCCAGACGGCAGAGCATGGGGTGAGGATGTGCCATTAGCAGGGCGTAACATTGATTACATTCTTCAAGTTGTGCAACCATTCTTACCCTCCTTTTTTGAGTTGTTCCTCCCCATTAACAAACTCACTGTCCGCTAAGGTTCCTATCTGACCTATCTAGTTGCTATTGTCAATTTGATTCTATGTAGTAGTTCTTAAAAGAGCATCATGCTTCAGGCAGGCATTTTTTACTAGTTAAGCTAAACTATTGCTTGGTTTTCAGATTACTTAAGGGGATATTTTTGGTTTAAGATTTAAAAATTATCTCAAGGCAGTATTTTCAGGGGTTCATCCACCCTCCGTGGCTCCAGAAGGTCTAGAGTCCATGGGAATTTGAAATTCTGTTCTGCATTTTCCCCCTTTTGATGAGGATTCTTCTATCTTGAATCTTTGATCAAAATGTTCAGTAATGGTAGCTGGGCACCATCCAGTTCTTCTGGTCTCATGGCAAAGGAGGCAGTTGTTTATGGTGGCAATTAACCACACATTCCATTTCCTCCTTCTATTCCTGACTCTCCTTCCTCTGTTGCTCCAGATGAATAGAGACCAGTTGTTGTGGCTTGGATGGCCACTTGCAAGCTTTTAAGACCCCTGGCACTATGCAGTGAGCTAGGAGGTAGAACAGAAGCACTAAATACATTATTAGGCCAATTAACTGGGATGTCCCATGAAACCATAACGCTAAACCTCCAAACCAAGGAACCAAATCCCTTGAGGTATTCTGGAGCCACATAAGCATCCTCAACAGTACTCTTTTTTTTTTTTTGTCATTGTAAATATGTGTCACACTTGCCCATTCAGCTTTTTACAGGTGTGCAACTTATTTACAGCAATTAAAATAATCTGCTGTACAACCTTACCCTTAATCAGTGTAATTTTTCCATCACCGTTAACCCCCCTCCTCCCCTGTCTCTCTCACTAATAAACTTTGGTCTCTATACATTTGCCTTTTCTTATCTTTTTATATAAGTGAGGTCATACAATATTTGTCCTTTTGTGATTGACTTCACTCAGCATAATGTCTTCCATCTCCATCCATATTGTAGCACGTATCAAGACTTCATTTCTTCTACTGGCCGAGGAGTATTCCATTGTATGTATGTACCACATTTTGTTTATCCATTTATCTGTTGATGAGCATTTAGGTTGTTTCCACCTGTTGCCTGTTGTGAATAGTGCTGCAATGAACATTGGTGTACAAGTCTTTTGGTCTCTGCTTTAAAGTTTTTTGGGTATATACCTAGGAGTGGAATTGCTGGGTCATACGGTTGTTCTATGAACTGCCACACTGCTTTCCACAATGGCTGTACCATTCTGCATTCTCACCAGCAATGGATAAGGGATCCAGTTTCTCCACATTCTTGCCAACATTTGTTATTTTCTTTTTTTTTATCTTAGCCATCCTAGTGGGAGTGAAATGGTATCTCATTGTGGTTTTGATTTGCATCTCTCTGAGGGCTGGTGATGGTGAGCATCTTTTCATGTGTTTGGTGGCCATTTGAATGTCCTTTTGGTGAAATGTCTATTCAAGTCTGTCTTAATCATCTAGTGCTACTATAACAGAAATAGGACAAGTGAATGGCTTCAACAAAGAGAAATTTATTCTCCCACAGTCTAGTAGGCTACAAGTCCAAATTCAGGGCATCGGCTCCAGGGGGAGGTTTTCTCTTACCTCTGGAGAAAGGTCCTTGTCATCAGTCTTCCACTGGTCAAGGAGCTTCTCAGCACAGGGACCCTGGGTCCAAAGGACCTGCACTCCTCTTCATTCTTGGTGGTGTGAGGTCCCTAAGTCTGTCTACTCGCTTCTCCCTTTTATTATCTCAAAAGAGTTTGGCTTAAGACACTATCTAGTAGATTTCATCAATATATATAACTGCTGCTAATCCATTTTATTATATCGTAGTGATAGAATTTATAACACATAGGGAAATCACATCAGATGACAAAATGGTAGACAGTCATACAGTACTGGGAAACATGACCTAGCCAGGTTGACAGATATTTTGGGGGGACACAATTCAGTCCTTTGCTCATTTTATGATTAGATTATTTGTCTTTTTGTTGTTAAGTTGTGAACAACTTATTGGTTATTAGATTCTTGCCGGATGTATGGTTCCCAAAGATATTCTCCCAGTCGGTAGCTTGTCTTCACACTTTTTTGGTGAAGTCTTTGTATGAACAAAAGTATTTAATTTTTATGAGGTCCCATTTATTTATTTTGTCTTTTGCTATTTGTGCTTTTGTTATTATATTAGATAAATCCATTGTTGAAAGCTAGGCCTGACAGTGTTGCCCCTGCTTGTTCTTCTAAGAATTTTATGGTTTTAGCTTGCACATTTAGGTCCTTAGTCCATTTTGAATTTGTTTGTGTTTATGGTGTGAGGCATGGATCCTGTTTTCATTTTTTTGCACGTGGAAATCCGATTTTCCCAGCACCATTTATTAAAGAGACTCTTCTTTCCCTATCAAATGGACTTAACAGTCTTGTCAAAAATCAGTTGAACATAGATGTATGGGTTTATTTCTGGACTCTCAATACTATTCCATTGTTCTGTGTGTCTGTTGTTACACCAGTACCAGGCTGTTTTGATTACTATAGCTGTATAGTATATTTTAAACTCAGGAAGTATGAGTCTTCCTACGTTTTTCCTCTCTTTCAACATTGTTTTAGCAATTTGTGGCCTCTTGCCATTCCATATAATGTTGAGGATTGGTTTTTCTAGTTCTGTTAAGAAGGCTATTTGAATTTTGATCGGGATTGCGTTGAATCTGTAGATCGCTTTGGGTACTATTGACATCTTAACAATATTAAGTCTTCCAATCCATGAACATTGACTATCTTTCCATTTATTTAAGTCTTCTTTAATCTCTTTGGTAGTATTTTATAGTTTTCATTGTATAAGTCCTGCATCTCTGCAGTGCACTTTTATATGGCTTTTCTCACTGTGGTCTGTCACTCCCACCAAATGACTGGGTGGGATTATGCAAACAAAGTGCTTGTGGCCCACCAAGGTGATTGGATAGCTTTTGATAATGCAAGTAAGGTGCATGACACCCTTGTGTTGGTGGGACAATGCAAATAAGGTGTATGGAACCCTAACAAGGGATTGGTCAGTTTTGTCATCTTGCCAGGTGTAAAATGAACCATCCCAGAGGTGGATGGGGGCACCTCACTACCACCAAGAGAGAAGAGCTAGGAGTGGAGTATGTCCTTTGGACCTGGGATCCCTGTGCTGAGAACCTCCTAGACCCTGGAGACAGAGTGAGAAAGAGCTGTAACACTAGAGATGAGAGAGACGGTGAGAATCAGCAGCAGAGAAATGGCTGCAGCAGGACCAGGAGATGGCGCAGTAGGCTTCATGGCCTATGGAGCGAGAAAGTTGACTGCCTTCAGGCAGGAGGCTTGCTGGCACAATGGGGTGCCTACGGGCAGTTGGCAGCACTAGGTTGGCCAACACATGGAGCAGTAGAGCTCAGTGCCTTTGGGCAGGGGGTTTGCTGGCAAAGTGGGGTGTGTCTGGGCACTTGTTGGTGGAGCTAGGCTTGCCAACCCAGCAAGAGAGCTGAGCGCCTTCGGGCTGAGGCTTGCTGACAGAGTGGGATGCCTCTGGGCACTTATCAGTGGAGCTAAAGAGCTTTGTAACACTTGTCCGAGCAGGGCAGGGGCTAGGCCAGCTCAAGAGGCCAAGGACCAGAGAGAGGCCTGCCTGTGGGCACGGCTGAGAAGCTGCCCTGACCGAAGAATTGTATCTTGAGTCATTCCTGATTCTGAATTGTAACCTCTTACTTCCTTAATAAACCCCATAATTGTGAGTTTTGTCTGTGAGTTCTGGGTGGCCATTGCAACAAATTATTGAACCCAGCAGAGAAGTAGAGAGTGTCGTGGGAAGGATGACTGGTGTCAGAATCGGTAAAAAGGTTGGAGAGGAGGTATGTCTGATCTTGCTTTGTAGGAATCAACCTTGGGCTGTTGCTGATGGTGATTCTCTCCCTGCCTCATGAAGTTAGAAGAGATCATATGTCTCTGCCACACCATTTTTACAGTGTCCCTGATTAGATTTATTCCTAGGTCTTCTCTTAGATGCTGTTGTAAATGGAATTGTTTCTCTAATTTCCCTTTCAGATTTCTTATTGCTGGTGTATAGAAACCCAACTGATTATTATTTGTTGACCTTGTACCCTGTAACTTTGCTAATTTCTTCTACTAGCTCTAGAAGTTTTCTTGTGGACTCTCTGGGATTTTCTCTATATAGGCTCATATCATCTGTGAATAGAGACAATCTTACTTCTTTTCCAATCTGGATACCTTTTATTTCTTGTCTGTTTCTCTGGCTAGGACTTCTAATAAAATATTGAATGGAAGTGGTGAGAGTGGGCACTCTTGTCTTGTTCCCAGTTTCAAGGGGAAAGCTCTCAGTCTTTCCAGTATAACATTGGCTGTTGGCTTTTTATATATGACCTGAATCATATTGAGGAATCTCCCTTCTATTCCAGTCTTCTTTAGAGTTTTCATCAAGAAAGGGTGTTGGATTTTATCAGATGGTTTTTCTGCATACATAAGAGATGATCATGTGGCTCTTTTCCTTTG